AAGTATACACACATAAAAATCCACTGGCTATACTAAGGTTTATACACTTTATTATATGTAAGTTATACCACAATAAAAAATAAATAGTAAAATGACCCAAGATGCATTTTAAAATATTGTTCTTCCTCCAAATACATTTCTTTCTTAGAAAAGGAAACGAATCAAGTTTCTCTTCATGCAGTCCCGCATTTCCTATGAGTCTTACATCTCGAACACTGTTAGCCTTAAAGAGGAAGGTGAAATCAAGTTCAATCTCCCACAGGGCTGATTCTGAGATATCTATGCTTTTGGCAAGTTATATGTAACAGCGCATGTGATTCTTAAAAGATAGTTTTTACTCCTGATCTCTGGCAAGAGTTTTGGGAGCAGGTCTTTGAATAGTGAAGAATAAAAATCTATATAAAGGACAGTTCTCTCAAAATGCCATTAGCAGATATGTTACAGATGAAGTCAAAACCTTGTATAGCAAACAAAGCAAAAACCCTCTCCATTAAGCTTAGATACTAGTGGGCAGCAAGAAAAGTCACCACCTTTGTACTCCCAGGTGTCCTCCTGTCAGTTTAGTTCAACTCTGAAGTAAACAATGAAAGGTGAACATTTATAAAAGAACGATTTAGTGTAGGTATATCCTATAAAGTACCTGTACTTTACATACTACAGATATATGGGGAAATGACCAAACATAATTTTACATAATAGATTTTAGAATAAAGGTTTTGGCATCAAAATGCCTGCTCAGACATCTCAGCTTTGCCACTTACTTTGACCCTTACTTCTTCAACTACTAAGTTGAAATACTAATATTACTGCAATAGGCTTACTATGAATACTGAGTAAGATAATGTCTATTAAATGCTTAGTAATCAAAATACCTAGAATTCAGTAAAGACTGAAGAACCGTTATATTAAAAGATAATATGTGCCTCCTGATGAAGAATAATACATCATCATCTGTGAAGCACTCCTGCCAAAAAAGTGTCAAACCTGAGTTTGATCAGGTCTCTAGATTCAACTAACAATTTATAGAAAATTCACAGGACACAGAAACACGTAGAACTACACCAATGAGATACAACAGCAAATCCAGAGTGGGAAACTCTGAAAGACCACCAAATCAGTCTCTTGAACAAATAAATTCTCAAGAAAAAGAGAGAGAAGTAGGGAAACTTAAAAAGAGTTAAAAACACTTTAAAGATAATTATAATGTAGACCTCTTCTGGTTGGATTCAAACTATTAAAAAATAATAAAGCATTTGAGGCAACTGGAAAATTAAATAGTTACAAAACATTTAATATTAAAGAATTATTGATTTTTATATACAGTATTATTGTAATGTCCAAAAAAGTTCTTATCTTTAAAAGACACACACTAAAATATTTACAAACAAAATGATATGATGTCTGGGATTTACTTCAAAACAAGACGTAAGCTGTGGAGTTGAAATATAGATGAAATGAGATTGATGGAGTTGTTAACTGTTAAAAATTGTTAAGTACATGGGCATTCATACCACTGTCTACTTTTACATGTGTTTAAAATTCTTCACAGTAAAGTTTAAAAAAGAAGGGAAATATAAAAGTAGAAGCAACTCTGTACTGAATTAAGAATCCTGACCTAGAACAGTTCAGTAACAGCTATCACTATTACACAGTATTAATATCCCAAGCATTATGTTTAGTTTTACATGTATTATATAATTTAACTCTACTAAATTAAGTTTTGACCTTTGTAAGCTGATTCCTGGAATTCAAACTCCTTTTACAGTAGCCAGATATGACAGTTTGATCAGCGTTTTCCTAGCAACTCCTACTGACACTGGAATAATCTACTTCACTTTGAAAGGGTGTAATTAACAAAAATCAACTAACTAAAAATTATAACATCAAAGAAAATATCCATCAACAGTTAAACGGATAAATAAAATGTGGTACAATCATACAGTGAAATACTGAGGCAACAAAAATAATGCAAAAACATGGATACATCTCAAAGTTACAATGTTAACAAAATAAGCTAAACACAGAATACATATGGTATGATTTCATTCATGATATGCTCAAAAACTGATTAAATGAGCCTGTGGTGAGAGGTTCAGAACAGTAGTTACTTTTGGGGGGTTAGATATTAACTGGGAGAGAGCACAAAAAGAGAGTGTTCTATATCTTCATCTGGATAGTATTAATATGGGTATACACACATGTAAAATTTCATCAAGCTGTACACTTAAGATTTGTGCACCTTTCTGTAAGTTATACTTCAAGAAAAAAAGAAACATTTTACCAGCACTATACTCCCAAACAACCAAATCAGAATTAGAAAAGGGGAAGCATAGAATACTTGAAGAGTACGCATAAGTATTTTGGAGGGGAAAGTTAACCTCCCTCATACCACCAACACTAATTCAGTCTCTGATCACAGATTTTAATCTCCTCTTGTATAACTCACTACTTTAGTAAACTGTAATATATACTTCCATAAATTAGACTCAGGTCAACACAGAAGACTCCTACTTCTTTCAGCTAGCATCCCACCACTGCAGACACACAGGTGAATAAAATAAATCCAAAAACTCTCACATTGTTATTACTCCCTCTTTACTTTCACCTCAAAGTATGACCCACCACTAAATCAGTGTTAAGTAGAGGCATGTTATCCCAAAAATCAGACACTTTTAAATGCAATTTCTGATTAACAGAATAAGGTGATTTCTATCAGGAATTCTAAATGGAAACCTTATAAATGAAAGCTAATGAAGAAATATCAACTTAGAAGCCACTAACTAGGTGTGTAACCTCACTGAGGCCATCATAACTTTTCTGTGGCTTCAGTACCTCCCCACAAAAGAGGGAGTTCTATTAGTTCAGAGATTGCACATACGTGGTAAATGCGGGGCTGCTACGCCCCCTCTGAACAACTACTACTAATTTCTTTTTTTTTTTGAGACAGAGTCTTGCTCTGTCACCTGGGCTAGAGTGTTGTGGTGTCAGCGTAGTTCACAGCAACCTCAAACTCCTGGGCTCAAGCCATCCTCCTGCCTCAGCCTCCCAAGCAGCTGGGACTACAGGCATACACCACCACACCCAGCTCATTTTTTCTATTTTTTAGTTGCTCAGCTAATTTTTTCTATTTATAGTAGAGACGGGGTCTCACTCTTGCTCAGGCTGGTCTCAAACTCCTGACCTCAAGCAACCCTCCCACTTCAGCCTCCCAGAGTGCTAGGATTACAGGAAACGGCCACCACACCTGGCCTGAACACCTACTACTAATCAACCAGAGATGAAATCAGAAACAGCACCTGAGATGAAACTTATCTGTCATTCCTAGGCAAATGATCTAAGCTGCCTTTTCTTTCTAACACTCTACTATCTGTGACCCACTTGGAATCAAATACATTTGCTGTGAACAGCTTGGATTCACACACATACCATACATCAAAGCTAACTTAGGGAGTTAGAGGGCCTTAAGATATAGAAATTCTTTATCATCTTTAAATGTACAGATATTTTTTAAAAGAATGGGCCAGTATTTATACAGTTCTCTATTTCAGACAAGATTGGGTGCGTTCAGGGTGGTATAGCTGTAGACAACATTTCTCTATTTCAGATGTAAAATTCTAGGAAATAATCAACTCTAAATGAAAAACTGTAATACATCTTTCTCAATTTCCTAACCATGTAAAACATTATTCTTTAATATGAACTACATTCTTGATACTCAGGAATACTTGAGAATACCTGAAAAGATTCTTATGAAAAAATTTACTAAGAAGTTTGCTGGAAAACCAACTGGGAATGTTTACCTCATTTCTTATCTCAAGGTAGATGCACACCCAGTTACAGATTCATACAGAACTCGTAAAGGTGAACATCCTGACAAGTGTTTAGACAATTACATAATTCTGTCAACGTATTATTTCCAATGTCTTCGTGTGGCTTCTGAATGTCAGAAGTCCCTGTACAGACATTCCCAATAACTGCTCCACTCCAAAATTTCCAATTCCTTTTTCTTGGCCCCTATCAAATTTCCATTCCTGCAACCCAAATTTCAACTATTAGAAAAACATTCTGATTGAAGTGGAAAAAAAATTTTTTTCAGGAGAGAAAGTCAAAGTCAGGGAGAGGGAGGAAAATAACAATTGTCTGTACCATCTAAAAGTGAAAACACGTAGCGCAAGGGAGCTTCATCAATCAAAACAGACAAGTGCCTACTAAGGCCCAAGTGTGCTAGGTTCTGGAGGCATGATTAGCAAGGTGAGGCCCATCCCTGAGACAGCATAAACCAGCCAGAAAAAATAAGCAACTAAAGTAATATCAATAAAACATATGACCTGCACCATGAGAGTTAGCAAGAGGATATAATAGTACTAGAAGTAAGAAAAGGCCCCTATGATAATATTAGCTAAGAATACAGCAAAATTTGAGAAATAATATAACATACTCCATATGTTACAACAATATACTGTCTGCCTCTGTATAGTTGGCATACAGAGAGGCAAGAGAAGAGACTGAGATGATGGATGGCCATGGAAGCCACTCTAAGGAATTTAACTTCGTCTCAAAAAAGTTAAGTCACTAAAAGTGACTTAAGTGAGGAACACAGGTGTACTTTTCCAAAGGTCTCTATCCACCTACTTCACTCACTGTAAAGGTGGCCAAGAAGGGGAAAGTGTGAAGAAATAACAAAAAGGGAGAGAAGATAAATAGTACTTCGGAGACTTTCAGGGTATACTCAGACATCTTAAGTTAGAACTACAATGCCTGGAACATAAATGTTCGATCATATATAACAATGTATATTTTATGCAAAAAGGGAGTTATGGAAATGAAAAGGAGTCAAGAGCTCAAACTCACTTTACTGTCTTAACCAAGAAGTTCTATAAAGCACTATATTTCTGTAAAATTAAACACACAGTTCTTACTGGTTTTGTCTATTTTTTAAAACAGGGTTGGTTGGTAGTTTTTTGTTTTTAACTGGGTTCAATTTAAAAGACACTATTCACCTTGTTATACATGTATCTAAGCATGAAGTCCAGTAGAAAAGATTTCCCTTTACGAAAAGCTCCTGCCACAGATACCACTACTATGTTAAGATCTCGAATGTGCTCCTGTAGCAGTATCTGCTCCAAAGCTTCTTCATCAAGCTCAAAGTTATGGTCATCTTCATGAGCAAGAACAATCTGTACTGGACATGGTTTCTTCATAACCTCATCAGAATTTACTAGGTCAAGGTCATCATCTTCATAATTCTCACCTAGAATTTAAAAAAGAAAGAAGCAGGTTACCTTAACCCTTGCATTACAAACTTTTCATTAAGGATCACAACTAAAGCAAAATTTCAAATAAACAACTGTTCCCTCCCCCATTACATATCACTTGAGAATAGTTACAAAAAGTGATGTTCAAGTAGCTTTGGATTTCTCACTCCCTCTGTAACAGGACAAAGAACACCAGTAAAATTTCCTACTATATATACAGATAAGCAACAATACTAAGTATTAGTTGGCTATAGTTACCATGTGGTCAGGTTTCTTTTATTAGCATGGATAAAGATCGGCACTTCAGAATATCTGTCATCATTTCATTAAAGGGAAGGGTGGCAAATATGTTTCAAAAGGATAATGGAGCACAGCAATGATGTGCGTGATTCAAGTATGTTTACTTCCCATGATGATCATTCTACCAAATATGGACTAAATACTGATAATGTACTTCATCAAACACTGATACAGACAACTGAATAAAAAAGAATTGTATGTAAATTTCATTTGCATACCTGTAAATACTGTATTAGCATTTGGTGATTACCTACAATTGGAAATCTTTTTAAATTAAGCTTTACCCTAAGATTTTAAATGGAAATTAAATCCTATGTATAAAACAGTGATTATATTTCCAGTCTTCAATGCCGAAAAATTACTGGGACAAGTAGATTTCAGCTCTCTAATACATTTCTGTGATTCACAGTTCAAAGTCTGTTCTTTCAAGATCAAAGCTGAAAGATACCCACAGACAATCACCTATTTCTCAAATCTCTCTCCACACCTTAACACTAGATATACCTAATAATTTATTTGGTATAAGGCTTGCAAAAAGACACCTGTCTTAGTCAAAAAACTCATGGTTACCAGGGGCTGGGGATAGGGAGAGATGAATAGGCAGAGCACAAAGAATATTTAGGGCAGTGAAACTATTCTCTTGGGTGATGGGCACAGCTATAGCCACAACTCCAGCATTACAAAAGTGATCCATGTAACCAAAAACATTTGTATCCCCTTAATATTTTTAAATAAAAAGAAGCTATTCTCTATGACACCATAATTGGTGGATACCAATGGAAAACCTGTTGAATCCACAACCCCAAGAGTAAACCCTAATGTAAACTATGGATTTGGGGTGACAATTATGTATCAGTGAAAGTTCATTGATTGTAACACATGAACTACTCTGGTGCAGGATATAGACAGTGGGGAAGGGTGTGAATATGTAACAGTATATTTTCTTGTGAATCTTAAACTGCTCTAAAAAATAAAGTCTATTTAAAAAACACCTTTTTGTTGATGAATCATACTTTAAATCTGCCAATTTCATACACTCAGCATGTATTCTAACCTGAAAATTTACTTTAGGGCTGACCCAGATTCATCAGCAAACCTCAAGCTTAATTACAAAGACAATAAAAAGGTGCTAAAAATATGCATTCCAATAAAATATTAGCATTAACACTAGATTACAACAACCCCAAAATAAACTTACAGAAAGAGAACAAAGAATTGTTCACTTTTCAAAAGAAATTATACTTCGCTATTATTGACATTTCAAATAAAAACTTGAAACAGATTCAGCCTACTCAGGTCATAGATTTAAAAAAAAAAAAATTAGTTATGTGACAAAAGCAATGTTTTAGTGCCTGGTACTTGGATCTCAACATTTATATTCTATACCCAAATGAAATAAGTATTCAAAAGTTTATTCTAGCACATCACACCATGGTAAATCCATTTCTAGAGATACATTATAAGGAAATAAAGATGCTAACAAAGACATACAAGTTTACCAGTGTTATTTCTGGTAATGAAAATTAATGTTGAGTGTCTCAAAACTGGAAAAGTGGCCTGACAGTTATTTTAGCTATATACTGACATACTATGCAGCTTAAAAAACACATATACACTCTTAAGAAATTAAAGATTTTTTTTTTTTTAATCAGCACAAAATAACATGGGAAAAAGGAAGACTACAAAGCAGGACAAATCATCCTCGATTCTGTTTTGCTTTTTAAAAACATAGGTACTTGAGGGAGGGGGTATTTGGGAATTCCAGTCACTGGAGTAACTGGTACCAGACTACCCTCCACCACAAACAGCTATAAAATTAGACAAAACATATGAGACATCTTTTTTCAAGCACTGGACAACAAATAGCACAAGACAGAAATCCCAGCTCTCTACCTGGGAACTACTGCCTAACCACAGCATGAGGAACTAGTGCACAACCAAAGATCTGAGTTCAGGACTGCTAAGGCAGTAGGAATCTGTGAGGCAGGACACCAGAGAAAAAGGAGCTGTACAGAGGTGGAGCCCAAAAGTCCTTGGCCAAGGGCAACAAGCTTCACAGGTGCAAGGGAATACAACACCATGCAAAGGCTTACCAGAAGGCAGCTAGCTACTATAGGGTTGAGAGAGTGAAACAGAAACCAGAAGTCAAACAGTACTGAGACACTTAGGGAGTTCTGGCCCAACCACAGTAGAAAGATCTTATGAACATCTCAGGCATGAAGATGAGACACTAGAAAGCCAGATCGTAGAATTAAGGACCAAGTCCTAGAGTAAGGCCTAATGAAGATCCATTCAAACAAAGTCTAAAACCAAGACTTGAAAAGATCTGCAGGATATAGAGTTTGGAAATTTAGTCCTATCAAGTTAGGAAGGTTTCCTCTAAGCTTTCCACAGATCCACACAAAGTATAAAGCCTACACAAGGTCAAGATCTACCAGTAATTGAACTGCTTGTCACAACAAAAACTAGGTAACAGAATCCAGAATCTCTACAATGCAAAGTACAATACACAGTATACACACAAAAATTACTAGACATATAAAGAAAGAAAAGCAATTAATAGAAATCAATCCTACAATGACCCTGATGTTGAATTTAGCAGACAAAAGCTTTTAAGCAGCTATTGTAAATATGTTCAAGGATTTACAGAAAAAAATAGGTCTTAATAAGTCAACAAATGAGGAATGTAGGCCAAGAAGTAGACTACTAAAACACAAATGAAAATTCTAGAACTGAGAAATAAAATAATTAAAATGAAATAGTCACTGGATGGACTTAACAGCAGAGTGCAGGTAGCAGAAGAAAGGGCCCATGAACTTCAAAACGGATCAAAAGAAATTCTCTAATCCGAAGAATAGAAAGTAAAAAGAATGAAGAAAAACTAAGACAGTCTCAGGGACCTGTGGAACAATATCCAACATGTAGTTAGAATCCCAGAAAGAGAACAAAGTGAGAAAGGAGCTGAGAAAATATTTAAATAAATAACACAATGTTACCATATTTGACGACAAAGATTTACAAATCCAAAAAGCTCAGCAATCCTCAAGTAGGGTAAGTACAATTGCTAAAAAACAAAGATAAAAGGAAAATCTTCAAAGAAGCCCAGGAGTGGGTATGGGAGGATACATATTACACAAAGGGGAAGTACTCAAATGACAGCTTCTCATCACAGCAGCAATGGAGGCCAGAAGATAATAGAATGGAAGGGGCAAAAAATATAAATATTCACGACCACTGAACTGTACCCTTAAAAAGAGTAAAGATGGTAAATTATATACGTATATTTTACCTCAGTAGACAATGGGATATCGTTAGAGTGCTTAAAAGAAAAATAAGTGTCAACCCAGACTTCTATATTCAGTAAAACTATCACTAAAAAATGAAAGTTAAATAAAGACAATAAGCAAAACTGAAGAATATTTGTTGCTAGCAGATGTGCACTACCGTGAGATGCTAAATGATGTTCTTCAGGCTGAAATGAAATATTACCAAATGGACAGTCTCTTTAGTCCTTCCTATAGATCTGAATCCAAAGTAGCAAACAGGCTGTGTGTGGTGGCTCACACCTGTAATCCTAGCACTTTGGGAGGCCAAGGAGAGAGGATCACTTGAGCTCAGGAGTTCGAGACCAGCCTGAGCAAGAGTAAGATTCCATCTCTACTAAACATAGAAATATTACCAGGCTTGGTGGCACGTACTTGTAGTCCCACCTACTTGGGAGGCTGAGGCAGGAGGATCGCTTAAGCCCACGAGTTTGAGGTTGCTATGAGCTAGGCTGATGCTATGGCACTGTAGCCCAGGCAACAGAGTGAGGCTCTGTCTTAAAAAAAAAAAAAAAAGTAGTAAATAGATACAAATATAAAAGACTACTTGTTTCCTCCAAAATTTCCTTAAAAGATAATTGATCATTTAGATGAAAAATAATAAGTTGTAACATGGGGTTTTATAACGTATGTAGATGTAGAAAATTTTCAAAAATTAAGACAAATGTTCTGAGGACCAGTAAATAAAATTATACTCTAAGGTTATTATGATTTTAAAGTAGAAAGTGGTAAAACATTGATTCTAAACAGACTTTGATATATTAAGGATGCATATTGTTAGCCCTAGAACAATGACTTTACTTTTTTTCCCTTTTTTCATCACCACACATTAAATGTGGTTTTTAAAATGACTTTAAAAAAAAACAAAAAAAAGGTTATAGCTAAAAAAAAGCCAAAAAGGAGCCAAAATGGAATGTTAAAAAATACTCAATTAACTCAAAAGAAAAAATAAGAACAAAAGACCAAAGGGACAAATGGAAAACAAATAGTAAGACGGCAAACTTAAATCCAACTAAATCAATAATTACATCAAATATACATACACTAAGCACACGAACAAAAAAGCAGAGATTGTCAGACTAAATAATAAAAGCAAAACATACATACTGTATATTGGAGCTGCCTCTTTAACACAAAGACAGATGGGTTGAAAGTAAAAGGCAGGGAAAAGGTACATGATGCAGACATTAATCATAAGAAAGCTCATCTATATGTATAGCTTTCAGTTACATAAATATCAAAGCAGACTTCAGGACTAAAAGTATTAGTAGATAAAAACATGGATAATCATCAGAAAGATATAACAAACCTAAATAAAAGAGATTAAAAATACGTAAAGCAAAAACTCAGAGAACTAAAGAGAAAAATAGACA